TATATATAAGAAATAAAAAACGTTAATGTTGGCCGGAACGATAGGGAGACCTTGCAAAAGTTGTTAAAGCCCAGAAAAAGCAAAATAACAAATAGATAAATCTTTTTCATTAGAAAGTATTGTATTATCTTTAGTTTGAGAAACCTATAAAAGCAGAGTAAAGAAAAATAATAAATTTAAGAGATCTTTCTCGTCTTCATTAGGCCATGCTAGTTATCGACAATGGTATACAGAAATGAATAAATAGGACAGATTAATATAAAATATTCCGATAGCGTGTCTGGGCTTATGATGCATGACTATCAACGCCCCTAAGAGATGAGACCAAGCTTTGTCAACTTTCCTTACGCTCAGTCTCGGGGAATATACTTCAGATTTGCTTAATTCCTCGAGCTAACGATCTTGTATCCTGTCTGCCTTAATGAAATCACCTTAGGATGAAGCTGGTATTTCACATTCTGGGTAAGATTAATGAAGATTGGTTAAAGAGAAAAGTAAATAGTGAAAGCAACCCCATAAAGAGAGGTTATAAGATTTCGCATGGGATTTAAGTGAGTTCGATCAGTGATCAAATATCAAAGTCTGACGTTAAATTTAGAGTGAAAAAGACAAGTCAAAAAAATAAGACTGCATATAATCAGAATAGCAAATAATATCAATACATTGATTAGCAAAAAATTATACAATTATATACAACCGAATAAGAACGAACAAATTACTAAGCGCTTTTAAAGTGGGAAAAGATTAAGTATTGCTATAGTAAGACAATTTCTGCAGGAATTACTTGCAACAAGCCATAATAAAAAACGATGTGGAAGGTTAAAATATCGTTTAATTCCTGTGCCACTTGACTCGTTAACCTCAAAAGGATATTCCGAATGGGGAAGCTAACTTGGTGCGCATATAGCAATTAAAATCCCTTTAACCATTCTGTCAGGTAATAATGATTGATAATACTATCAATGCAGGCGACAGCATACAGAAGTTAAAATATGCTATACATTTTCTATACTTTAATCAAAATAATATATAAAAATAATTAGATAAGACGTGTGTCGCTAAAATTACTTGAATGGAATGAGCGAAAATACAAGCAGTAGGGTTGCAAAATATAAACTAACCTGAATGAAAACATATTTATCTACTGGATCTCCATCCCAAACCCACGAATCCTTTGGCTCATTTATTTTTGGGCCAATTGCTGGCCTTTTTTTAAGACACGTTTGAACTTCGGAAGGCGCTGAAGAATTAAGAAGAGGCTTGCTTCTAACTGCAGTTTTTCCATTACTCGACTTGACGGCATCAGAATCAGGGGATTTTGTACTACGCTTGCATGGGAAATTCGAAAGGTTTTCCAAATTTAGACAGCGACTAGGTGTATTGGAATTAATGGACGTTGATATGGGAGCGTCTACCATTGGAAGCTGCTTGTTCTGTATAGTGGCAGGACCCACCTCAGGTAGGTAGTCTAGTTCCACTGGCTCATATGAGTTTGGCGCATTACGGACGGAGGATTTTGTCATATCATTTTTGCCGGATTGAGTCGTAATGATGCTTGGCGCCTGTTTGTTAGCTGAATTACAAATTGTTTTGATCTCATTCGCGTTGCTTTGTATAGGATCGGAGAAAAAAATAGGCATTTGCAACGTGTTCAAGCCAAAAGGAGAAGCGATTGCGTTATTCGTACAATTGGAAATTAATGTGGGGGCAGAGGGAGTAGGTGGAATAGGCAAGGTGCAGTATGACGCTGGGGGCTGAGCAACGAGAGGGATGGCTACTGGCAGACCAGTAGGTAAATGAACCGTTTGAAAAATTGGTACAGGTGGAGAAATGTGAAAAGGCACAGAAGTGAAAGCACATGATGCACCGGGTAACGTATGCAAAGGAAAGAAATGGAGAGGTTGAGGTTGTGGTGAAAAATGTGCCACAGAAGTGTATGAAGTAGAAGGCATCTGGA